TAGTTTCGAAATGCTGACCTTCCGGTTCACAGCCCGATTCGTAACCACTACGCTACCAGAGCTCCTTCGTCAAAATGGTAGGCAACTCAAAATCTATTTGGAAAAAGTCAAGTAACCTAGTGAAGAAAGTTACCAAGCTAGGGCTATGAGTAACCAAGGTTCAAGTTTTTATGGGTATTTACATTCCAGATGACTTGCTCACTTGGGCATTTGTTACTAAGAACCGACTAACTTGAAAAACAAGTCTTTTCATTTATCTGTCAGAGAAATATAACAGTTTTGAATCTCTTAGAAGAAACTTCCCTAAGGTAGTCATTCAGTCAGTGCTTGCTGAGCTTTGAGAACAACAAAGGGAAAAAAAGAGCCAAAAGCATTGTAAAATATAAGTAAACCATAGCACACTGAAGATGGGCAGTTTCCCTAGTCCTTCATGAATGCTTTATATGTAAGCAATTTGAGTGACTAAATACATGCTTTGTGAAACATTGTACTAGTCAAAGACTATCTCCAGATAAAATGGGAGATGAGGAATTTTCCCTAAAATTCTATTTACACAAATATAATGTACAGAGTAGGCTGTGGTTCTTACTGTCAAGTTAGTTTCAATGCATAGTGGCCTTGTATAGTCTTTTCAAGGAGATATTGGTGAGTTTGAACTGACAACTTTGTAATTCAAACCAACCTTGCGATCCAGTGCTTTACCCCACAGCACCATACCAGGACACTTGTATATAGGATATATTAGGTGAAAAATAAGAAACACAAAATAAACTTAATAAATCTGGGAGGGCAAATCTAATAAAGTAGAGGGATTAACTCAATCTTTTGGTTCCTGGGGCAGACACTTCTCACCTATGGAGAAAATGTGATGAAAATGCAATAGCATGAAAACTAAGAGAGATAATTGCTGTTGTTAAATGCTGTGGAGGTTTCTGAGGCTTTAAATCTTCTTAGGAGCAGAAAGTTTCATCTTTCTCCCATGGAGTGACTGGCGAACTGGAACCATGGACACTGTGCTTTATAATACAGTGCTTATGTATCCTATGTGTGTGTGGAGCTCTGATGATGCTACAGGAAAAGCACTGGACTGCTAACCACAATGTCGACAGGTCAAACCCACCAGCCACTCCAAAGGAGAAAGAAGCTTTCTTCTCCTATAAGGATTTACAACTTCGGAAACCCTATACAGAATCGCTATGAGTCAGAATTGACTTGATGGCAGTACATTTGGCTTTTTTGTTGTTTATACGTACTTGTATTTTAGGGAACATGGTGACATAGTGCTTAAAGCACTTGGATGCCAACCAAAAGGTAGAGGTTAGAGCCAGCCACTCCACAGGAGAAAGCTGTCTACTGGTTTACAGCCTTGGAAGGCCTCTGGGATAGGTTTATCTTGTCTTCTAGGATAGCTATGACTAGGAATTGACTCCACAGTAGTGGATTTGGATTGGTTTTTTCTATATGAATTTTGGTATGGCGCTGTAGGATAAGCACTGGACCACAAGGTCAGTTTGAACCACATAGTCGCAGTTCAAACTCACCAGCTGCTCTTTGGAAACCCTATACAGAGTTGCTATGAGTCAGGATGGACTCGACAGCTCTTAACACTTTACATTTAGGA